ATTCAAGAGGAGCATTGTTGTACGCGTGAGCCCAACCCTCAGTGTCTCGTATCTGTCCTGTTACTCCAAACCGTCACTGTACAACCTCACACCTGCCTGCATTGGCTCTCGACACACAATGGCCGCTCTTACACCCCCCGCCACCTACACCAACTTCACCCTTCCCGACGTCAAGTTCGCCCACCATCCGGCCTCTTCACCCACTGTCACACCCATCGTGCTCGTCATCCTGAATCGCCCCGCTGCCCGCAATGCCTTCACCGACTCCATGGCCGACTCGCTTGAAGCGGCCTTCACCCTGCTGTCCGCCGACCCCCGGGTCAAGTGCCTAGTCCTCACTGGCTCCGACCAGTCCAATCAGTACTACTGCGTCGGCATGGACCTCGCCAGTGCCGGCTCGCGCAAGGTCAACACGGCGATTCCCCGCGACGAGTACCGCGACGGCGGCGGCCGCGTCACCCTCTCCATGCACAGGTGCGCCAAGCCCATCATCGCCGCCATCAATGGCAGCGCTGTGGGCGTCGGTATCACCATGACCCTGCCGGCCAGCATCCGCGTCGTCTCCAACAAGGCCAAGGTCGGCTTCGTGTTCGGCCGACGTGGTTTCAACATGGAGGCCTGCAGCAGCTTCTTCCTGCCGCGCCTCGTCGGCACCAGTCGGGCCATGCACCTCGTCACCACGGGCGGAGTGTACCCGGCCACGAGCCCGCTGTTCGGAGACCTCTTCAGCGAGATTGTGGAGCCCGGGGAGGTCCTGCCGCGGGCCCTTGCCATTGCGGAGGAGGTGGCAGAGAACGTCAGCGCCGTCTCGACCAAAGTGAACAAGGAGCTGATCTACCGGAACCCTGGGACACCAGAGGAGGCGCATCTGCTCGAGAGTTCCCTCTTCTGGGATCTGATTCGTGGGCGAGACAGCAAGGAAGGGATGCAGAGCTTCCTGGACAAGCGCGCACCCAAATTTGCGGCGAGCATCGATAAGGACGCCCCGACTGCGTATCCATGGTGGGAGGAGAAGCAGACCAAGTCCAAGCTGTAGTGGACGGACTACATGGTACCTCGAGAGGCGTCCATCTACCACTGGTAGGGCTGCAGCAACCAGGTACATGAAAATGGCGCTATCCTCGGAGCCGTGACCGTATGGGTCGGGGGTCTGCGGGACCCGGGATCATTGATCGACATGTGCTGGCGGGCCGGGTGTTGGCTTGCTTCGATGGCAAACGCCAAAGGGCAGTGCGCAGTGCGCAGTGCGCAGTGCCCTGGTTGGCTCGGGTCTTCCCACTTGGATGCATTTGTAGGGGACCGCAGCCTCGGGTTGGGCAGAGATTTTGGCCAGTGGCTCCATAGCACGGTCGGGATACAGCTGTCTAGTGGGCGTGTCCGAGGTTCACATGCCAAAGAAGAGTGAAGAGTGTTTGCGGAGGGGCTAGAGTCTGTGATTGATAAGGTTTTGCATGGGAAACTGCCAAAGAAAAAAAAAAAAAAGAAAAAAAAAAGAAAAAGGAGGCGAAAGAAAAATTGTGCTGTGCTTGCTTGTAGGTGTGCTAGACGTTAGAGCTGTGCCGCGTGCCCAGCATAGATTATGCGGCAATGGTGAGGAGCGCACGAGTCACTGTTCCGTCTGTTCCAAGGTTTGACCAGCTTGGCTTTCGTCGTTGAGACTTGTGTGCCTGCTCCATGTGGTGAGTGGCAGTCGGAGTACCTCGACCGGGCCATCCCAGGCTCCAGAGCAACAGAAGACAGGGACCGGCTCGGCAGGTGGCATCGCAGCCAGAGGTGGCCATGGATTGGAGACAATGGCCAAATGAGGTTGAGACGCGGGCTGGCTGAGGCGAACAAGAGGAGTGAATGGGATTGCATGCAGGCACCCGCCAGGCGGAAGAAGAAAACAGTGAGGCAGACGCTAGAGCAAGCCAGTCCATCCCGGCATCAGTGAGAAGACGAGTCTCTCTTGCCTCTGGGACCGTCTGACACCTCTTTTCGGCCGGGCAAGTCCGATCTGACTGCACTGTAGAGGTACAGGGGGCGGCAGGCACCATCCGATGAGTGCTCAGGTGATGATACAGTGCGACGTGAGGGGCTCCTTCCAGTCCCCTGCTGCACCTGCCAGAAGTGCGTGCGCTTGCCCGTGCCGGGCATGGCTTCCTCATTCGTTTCGTCATTCATCCCCCCCCAGACACTCCACTTGCGCTCCGAATAGGTCACGGCTGGTCGCCGTGGTACATATTCTGGGCCTGGTCTCCGTCTCAACGACTTTGTCACGAGGCTCCTGACGCTTTTGTTCCGAGGTCTTCTGCTCCGTCTGCTCTTTTTCCTCACTATCCCTTCTTCTCAGCCTGGCCATCCTCACCCTCGTATACACAGCGACCGGCCTTGCGCTTACATTCTTCCCCCTTTTTTCGACGGAACCTTGCCCCATTCCAACTGCGACGCCCACGTTCCCTTGCTCAACTACCGCGAACTATCCCAGGCTCGGTCCGGACCAGGGTCTTGCACATCAGATATACAGCTTCCCCAACAATCGCCTCCGCACCCAGCGCTCCTGTTTAACAACTCCAACAGTCGGCAGCCCATCTTTCGCAGCAGCCTAGTTTCTGGACCTCCTCTGACGACTGCGCCAAAATACTTCGACCACCTTCCGAACCATCTGCTCCCTTCGCATCGCGCTGCCTATACATCTCGGTTTCCCTGGTTGCCCCGGCTTCCTTGGTCTCCTCGATCCCTCGCCCTCGAGTAGCGCCCCCCCCCCTGCCCCTCCAACCGTCACAAAGAACACCCACAAAATGCAGTACGTCAGGAGCTCACTGAGTTCCGTGTCCTCGGCATGGAACTCCATCAACCCTGCTACCCTTAGCGGTGCCATCGACGTCATTGTCGTCGAGCAGGATGACGGCTCCCTCGTTTGCTCTCCTTTCCATGTGCGCTTTGGCAAATTCTCCCTCCTTCGTCCCTATGAGAAGAAGGTCGAGTTCAAAGTCAATGGCGAAAAGCAACCCTACTCCATGAAGCTCGGCGAAGAAGGCGAGGCTTTCTTCGTCTTTGAGACCAAAGAAACTATCCCAAAGGACATGCAGACCTCGCCGCTCGTCTCGCCCGCCTCCAGCCCGCCCATGGACCCGCAGCACTCGCCCGAGGCTGGACTCCAGGAACCTGATCTGCTCGACCTCGACGAGCTCAACAGGAAGCCCCGCCGTCCTCCCCCTGCTGTAGTGTACTCCTCGCGCGATCACAGTAAGAAGATGATCGACTCGGTTGCCACAGATTGACGTGTTCGAGCGCTGACCCTTTGGACTAGCTCTCATCTCCTCGTCCACATCCCCCGAACTGTCGAACGGACGGCCAGCGTCTGGCGACTGGTCCAGCATGATGCGCCCTCACAGTGACGACATACTGCGCAAATCAGCCCGCTCAACCGACCGCGACCTGACCGATGAGCCCTCCGACGGGCAGAGCCAAGAAATGTCCGAACGCTCGCACAGTCCACCTCCGCTGGCACCCCGAGAGGCCCTCGAGCGCGCCATTGCCCTTTCGCGGAATCTTGAGGCAGCGAATATACCTAGCCAGGTGACCGAGACTGGCGATCTCAAACTCGACATGGCGGGTTTCAAGAGCAGCGAAGAGGAAATCTTCCGCGCCGAGATTGTTGCTCGCAAGATTCTCTCCCAGGAACTTGACGGCAACTACGATATCGGCTCCCTCTTTGGCATGGACGAGCACGGTAACATCTGGATCTACAGCAGCGAAGAAGCCAAAGAAGCTGCGCGCAAGAAGACCATGGCGGCTGGCATTGGCCATGGCCCCACGCCTGCTGCTGATGCCGTCTCCGACCCTGGCTATCAGAGCGACGCTAGCGACGAGACGACGACGGGGCCGGCTCACTCGCACAGGAGGTCTGAATCTGATGGGGGCCTCCAGACTCCCCTGAGCACCCCGCCAGGTTCGACCGCCGGAGACCCCAACCTCAATTACGCCAAGACGCTCCGGTTGACTAGCGATCAGCTGAAGGCTCTGGGTCTGAAGCCCGGCGAGAACAGCATGAGCTTCACTGTCAACCGTGCGACCTGCCAGGCCAACATGTACCTGTGGAGGCATGAGACGCCAGTTGTCATTTCCGACATTGACGGCACCATCACCAAGTCGGACGCCCTCGGTCACGTCCTCAACATGATCGGACGTGACTGGACGCACGCTGGTGTGGCGAAACTGTACAGCGATATCGCTGCGAATGGTTACAACATCATGTACCTGACCAGTCGGTCCGTGGGACAGTCGGACACGACGAGAGCGTACCTCGCGGGCATTCAGCAGGAAAACTACAAGGTCCCTCGGGGCCCGACCATTCTGTCCCCTGACCGGACCATAGCTGCCCTTCGTCGTGAGGTGTATCTTCGTAAGCCCCATGTGTTCAAGATGGCTACACTTAGAGATATTCGTCACCTGTACGGGCCGGACCAGACCCCCTTCTATGCCGGATTCGGCAACCGTCTCACGGACCAGATATCGTACCGAACCGTCGATGTTCCGAGGAACCGCATCTTTACCATCAACTCCAATGCCGAGGTGTCGCTTGATCTCCTCAGTCTTAACAAGCTGAAACTAAGCTACATCAACATCAACGAGGTCGTGGACCATTTCTTCCCCCCTGTCAGCACCCTCATCACTGGCGGTGGTGAGGAGTACACCGATTTCAAGTTCTGGAGGAACACGCCCCTCGAACTCGATGAGTTCTCCGCCAGCGATACGGATGACGAAGAAGACGACGAGGAGGAGGACGATGAAGAAGACGAAGAAGAAGACGATGACGAGGAGGCCGGCGATGACATGGCTGACAGTTACATCTCGCGTGAATCTATTGACGAGTACGCAGACGGACGCGAAAGCATCCTCAGCGACAGCGTCACCGGCGACGACTCCATGATGAAATCTCTGGTGCTCGACGACGAGGATGGCGATGACGAAGACTCCTTCGAAGACGCCGAAGATGACGGGGACAATGACGACGCACCCGCGAGCCCCGCGCGAACGGAGCGTGAGCGTACTGTCACGGCTGACGAGTCAACCAACGGTGCCAAGCTGAGCCCGACCTCTGACAAGCCAGTGGTCGAGGACGTTGGCGCCGAGATGATCACAGGGGTAAAGCATCTCACCCAGGAGAAGCCGGCGTGGAAGTGAAAGAACCCAGTGCGCTAAATCTAGTTTTGCTCTTACCAGGCTGGTGACGTTTATGATCCCGAGACCGAAAAGACCAAGCAAGTTTGATGGCAACGTTTTGTTGCGAGCGACGGTGCGGCTTTCTATCGAGTGCGTTCCTTCTTGTCTGCGGAGTCGGTACCTCGAAAGGAGGTCTGGGACGAGATGTGTATTGGATGAGGCAGGACGAGAGGTGCATAGCGACAGGCGTTGGATTGGTGTTTCTCGACGAGGTAGATCGGGCGAGCGGTTGCTGTTTTTTCATGCACAACGGATCCGATAAAAGTCTTGCACAGCGACCAATACACGATACAAAGACAAGGAAGAGATAAAAGTCAATATTAACCGGCTCCATTCAATTTCTTGATGGGCTCGTGGCCCTGGGTATATGTGGTACACTTTCTCTACACACGCCCATCCCATGCTTTGGTTTTCTGTTTCGTTGGCGGTGACGGTGACGCGCCCACTCTCAATACGGACCCCAAGCCCTGTCCATGGGCACAAAGTAAGCCGTAGTGTTGCCCGAAGAAGAGTCCGGCATGTGCGTCTGCTCAACATGAGATGAGCCGTCGTTCATGAGCTCGTCTGTCCCCAACTCCATGTCGGCCGTAACAGATGTGGCCCTCTCAGCGTGACCCCCAAAATCGAAGGCGCGGTTGGCGTTGACTGCCGTGACGTGGCCATTGAGTGGAACCGCGGTCATGTATGCGTCGCCAGTCGGAAGAGCAAAGGCGCGACGCGCAGCAAGAGCCGGCCCGTGGGCCGCTGCAGTCGGCTGGACGTACATCGGCCCGTCGCCCTCCGGGTGCAGGTTCCGGCTCATGATGTGGCCCATGACGCGATTGAGAAGCACAGGGCGCAAGCGAGGCGGGTGAACCAGGTGCTCGTGTCCGAAGCGCCCGGCGTGCGCGGCCGCGGCCGCGGCGGTGAAAGAGCCGTCCTTCTAGCCCGACCCTTCCATCTTGAGGTCCTTGTCCTCGTCCATCTCGTTGCCGAAGACGTCCTCCATGGTGCCGCCCTCAACGCCCTCGCCGCCGACGTCCTCGTCGTCGTCGTCCTTGATCGTCGTGTTGGCGCCAGCGCCCGTTTGCTCGACGCCCTCCATGGCGCCGCTGCCGCCGCCGCCGCCGCCGCCGTGGGGCGCCGCCACGGGCACGTCGTCGTCCGAGTCCTCGTCCATGCCGGCCTCCTCCCACATGTCCTTGAGCCCCCAGCTCGTGCCGCTGAGGACGAAGCGCTCGCTGGGCAGGCGCACGCCCCACTCGTTGGGCGCGACCTTGGGCAGGGCGACGCGGTTGTGCTCCTTGGCGAGGTCCTGGAGCCAGTCCTTGCTCATGCCGCCGGCGCCGGCGCCGCCGCGGAACTGGTAGCTCAGGCGCGCGGCGATGGCCAGCTTGACGGCGTTGGCCGACACGGTGGCGTCGCCGCCCGTGCCGGGGATCGAGGCGGCGCCGGCGCCCGCCGAGGCCGACGGCTTGGACCCGGCGTGCGTCGTGTAGGGGTCGGCCGAGAGGTGGAGGGCGTCGTTGAGGATCGACGACGTGTGGCGGTAGGCAAAGTCGAGGAGCAGCAGCGGCACGCGCGACTCGTACGCTGTCACGCCCTGCGAGGTGAGGAGGAGCTCGATCATGCGCGCGTCGCGGGGGCGCGGGGCTGAGGTTGTGGGGGACGCGGGCGCCTGCTGGCCTTGCTGCTGCTGTTGTTGCTGTTGCTGTTGCTGGTTTTGCTGAGTCGACTGCGATTGTGATGCGTTTGTGGCGGTTTGGGACTGAGAGGCTGGCGGTTGCGAGTTGGATGCGGTCGCCTGTGTCGCAGGGTTGCTCTGGCTGCCGTTCGAGGAGGCAGGCAGGCCGTTGGTCTGGGGTGCTGTCTGGGAGGCCATGGTGGCTGGAGTGGAAGGCGCTGAGAAGATGTGTGATTCGGAGGAGTTTGAAAGGGTTGTTGCAGGAGCTCTTCTAATTACTTCTTGTTGTGGTAGTTGCTCGAGACGAGCGAAATGGAGAGGGTTGGGTGTCGCGTCGAGCACGGCGGGATGCGACGCGATCGAGGGCGCAGGTCTTCGTTTGTATGCCGATGGGTATTTTGTAGATGTATTTCTAGCAGGAGATCCGCGGAGTTTCTCCCATTGAGCGATGTTGGTTGGATTGGTCGCTTTCGGGAGGTCAGACTTGGGGTTGAGCTTGGAGATGCTTGACCGCAGAAGCGAAGCTGTACCTGCCTTCGCTGAACCAACAGCTCTGGCAAGGCCTCGCTGCTTTAGCCGAGTGGGAGCCTTACCTCAGCAGATGCATAACCATGACCCGACCATTCAAACCAACAATCTCGATGAGCCGTCTGTATTGTATTAGTTCTATGAGCCATGGTCTTTACCTGACTTTAACTTTCATTCAAGCTAGAAAAAGGCACCTTGATTTTTTTCTATTTTTTTTTCTTTTTTTTAACTTTTTTTTTGCTTGAATGACCTCGATAGTATAGCGATACTTCTAGAATATCATCAAAGTCCAGCAATGGAGCAGTAGAATCTGGAGATGGAGAGAGGCATATGCCCTTCACAATGAACCCTCCATCCGACTTCATTGGTTTTATGCCCTGATATGGAGGAAGTCAAGTCTACTATTTTGATTATGCATGCCAGTTATCAGCCATACCTTCATGGCCAGGTAAACAGGAATCTTGCCAAACCGACATGGTAGAGAAGAATCGTGCGTTAAAGCCAAGTCTTCTGGCAGACGTTTTCAGTGACCGACCTAGTCCAACTAGACAGTCTTTCAAGCTCACAACAGAGCAATAGCGGCAAGGACACTAACCCCTCGACGGCCGGAGGGTTCGGTCGTCAGATAATCCGCTCCGTGATACGCACCGACCACACCTTATTCACGGCGCCGGGGTGCGTCGATTGGGCCTTGGCAAATGGAGGGGCAAAAGACTGCGAAAATGCCCCGCCAAATCGAGTCCGATGCAGGACACTGTGACGCTCACAGTCAACGGCGTCACGCTAAATATTTTCCTCTATTGACTCACCAACTACCTGGATCTCACGATATATCCCCGGACATTGGTTGACTCGAACACCCGTATTCCTCGTCATCCCACTCCCCTATCACATCATTGGCTCATCGCCAATCATCCAGACAGCCATAGCCATGGAGACGACACTGCCCTTCCCGTTCGTCATCAGTGTCGGAACCTTTCCTGAGGGCCTCACTCGCGAACAGGTATCGGTCCTGGGCGCCCCCTTCTTCGATGCCGACGATAAGACGCTTGCGAGCAACACCGACTTCCAGGCTTACTTTGACGTCAGTGCTGTTCAATCATACGAGGACATCGTGTCCCTTCTCGACCGCGGTGCGAGGAGAGTCTTTGTGGACACTGAGCGACTCCCCGAGTACGCCGACTTCAGAGACCGCGTAGCCCCCACAGTTTCAACCCTCGACCTCTCAGCCGCCACATCCAATGGTCTTCTCGTCAAGGACTTTGACCCTTCAAGTTCCCGTGTCGACGAATTCGTCAAGCAGGCCAGCGAGAAGAAGCTGACCAACCTGTTCGTCAAGCCCGTATCTGGCACCAACCTCGAAACCTTCATCGAGATTGCCCAGAAGGCTCACGCCATCCCTATCATTCCCGCAGACGCCCTGACCGTCAACAAGGATGACTCGACCCGCCTCTCACTAGCCAAGGTCATTGCCTCCCTGTGCAAGTCTGACAGGACTGATGGTCTCCTCCCTACCGTTGTCTGCGACGAGTCGAGCACCGCGCTTGGCCTTGCCTACAGCAGCCAGGAGAGCATTTCCGAAGCCATTCGAACACGGACGGGTGTCTACCAGAGCCGTAAGCGCGGACTTTGGTACAAGGGTGCCACATCTGGCGACACCCAGGAGCTGCTCCAGGTCTCCTTGGACTGCGACAACGACGCCATCAAGTTTGTCGTCAGGCAAAAGGGACGCTTCTGCCACCTCGAGCAAGATGGCTGCTTTGGCAACTTGACGGGCATCGCCCGTCTTGAGAAGACCCTCAAGGCCAGGAAAGAGTCTGCCCCTGAGGGTTCCTACACGGCACGCCTTTTCAACGACGAGAAGCTCCTGCGGGCCAAGATCATGGAGGAGGCCGAGGAGCTGTGCGACGCCAAGACGAAGGACGACGTTGCCTTCGAGGCCGCAGACCTGATTTACTTTGCCCTCACCAAGGCTGTCAGTGCTGGTGTCAGCGTGGCTGATATCGAGAAGAGCCTTGACGCCAAGGGCTGGAAGGTCAAGAGGAGAAAGGGTGATGCGAAGGGCAAGTGGGCTGAGAAGGAGGGCATCCAGACTGATGCGCCAGCTCCAGCCAAGGCCGCCCCAGCGCCTGCTCCTCAGAGCAACGGTGCCAAGTCAGACAAGATCCTCATGCGCCGTTACGATGCGTCCAAGGTCTCGGCTGCCGAGGTCACCGAGGTCCTGAAGAGGCCATCACAGAAGTCTCCTGAGGCTATTCTCAACATCGTCAAGCCTATCATTGACGAGGTCCGTTCCGGCGGCGACAAGGCCGTACTCTCCTACACCCACAAGTTTGAGAAGGCCACATCACTCACCTCGCCTGTCTTGCGGGCACCCTTCCCGGAGGAGGCCATGAAGCTTTCCGAGGAGTCCATCAAGGCCATTGACATTTCTTTCGAGAACATCCGCAAGTTCCACGCTGCCCAGAAGGAGGACAAGACCCTCCACGTCGAGACGATGCCTGGTGTCGTGTGCAGCCGCATGTCCAGGCCGATCGAGCGCGTCGGTCTCTACATCCCCGGTGGCACAGCTGTCCTGCCCAGCACGGCTCTCATGCTCGGTGTCCCCGCCATGGTCGCCGGCTGCAAGAAGATTGTCTTCGCGTCGCCGCCCCGCGCCGACGGCAGCCTGACGCCCGAGATTGTCTACGTCGCCCACAAGGTTGGCGCCGAGAGCATCGTCCTCGCCGGCGGCGCTCAGGCCGTCGCCGCCCTGGCCTACGGCACAGAGTCGGTCCCCAAGGTCGACAAGATCCTCGGCCCCGGCAACCAATTCGTGACGGCAGCCAAGATGTTCGTCAGCAACGACACCAACGCCGGCGTCAGCATCGACATGCCCGCCGGCCCCTCCGAGGTCCTCGTCATCGCCGACGCCGACGCCAACCCGGCCTTTGTCGCCTCCGACCTCCTCTCCCAGGCCGAGCACGGCGTCGACAGCCAGGTCGTCCTCCTCGCCGTCGACCTGTCCGAGGACAAGCTCCGCGCCATCGAGGACGCGCTCCACGAGCAGGCCGTCGCCCTGCCGCGCGTCGACATTGTCCGCGGCGCCATCGCCCACTCGGTCACCATCCAGGTCCGCGACGTGGACGAGGCCATGCGCATCAGCAACGAATACGCCCCCGAGCACCTCATCCTCCAGCTCCAGAACGCCCCCGACGTCGCCCAGATGGTCATGAACGCCGGCAGCATCTTCATCGGCGAGTGGACCCCCGAGAGCGTCGGCGACTACTCGGCCGGCGTGAACCACTCTCTTCGTATGTTTCCCCTCCCCCACCCTTCTGATCTGCCCGACCAGACCTATCGAATCCCCCCCGCCTAACGTTGTTGCAGCCACCTACGGTTTCGCCAAGCAGTACTCGGGCGTCAACCTCGGCTCTTTCGTCAAGCACATCACGAGCTCGAACCTCACGGCCGAGGGCCTGCGCAATGTCGGCTCGGCCGTCATGCAGCTGGCCAAGGTCGAGGAGCTCGAGGCTCACAGGCGCGCGGTCGAGATTCGTCTCAACTACCTCGACAAGAAATGATGGATGATGGGAAGCACGAGATATGTAGGGGGGGGGGGGTAGACTACTGGAGTTTTACTGGGGAATCGTCGTTGTCAGACGATGGCATTTAACTAGAGCTGCAATTACAATCTCATCGTACCTGTCACGCTATAGATGTTCCGTCATTTCGACAATGTCCACGCTCATGCTCAACAATTGTCATTCACCAGTCACCATGCACGCCACGGCAGAGATCAACACTTAAACATGAGGCGCAAAGGCCCTGCGATTACCAAACAGCTAACACCCCGCATGTCGCCCATCTGTGAACACAAGAGAAGTCTTTATGATACACTAGGCCTGTAAACGGCATCTCATACACTCTATTCCTTGGATCGCCTCCGGCCCCCGGCATCGCTCGCCTGCACTGCACGCTTAGAACTTGGGCTTCATGGTGTTCCTCAACCTCTGGTAGTCGAAGAGACCCTCGATGCTTCCTACCGCGCTGACGGCGATGTCCTGGTCCCAGAGCTTCCTGTTGGCAAAGTCCATGACGTCCTTCTCGGTGATGGCGTCGATGATGCGCTCAATCTCGCCGGGGCTGGCGCGGCGGCCGGTGGTGATGAGCTGGCGGCCAATGTCCTCGGCAATGGCGGTGGTGCCGTCGAGGGACAGGAGGATGGAAGCCTTGAGCTGGGCCTTGGCGCGCTCCGTCTCGGCCTCGCTGACGTTGGAGGCGAGACGCATCCACTCGCGGATGGCGAAGTGGACGAGATCGTCGACGCGCTCCTTCTGGTCGGTGACGAGGTAGATGCCCCACAGACTGGTTCTGCTGTTAGCCGTCTGGTTCATTCGTCACGCAAGAACTTCCCATCACTCACCCGGTGTCGCTGTAGCTGGTGGAGAAGCTCATGAAGCTGTTGGCCAGGTTGTTGCGGTGGACGAAGCCGCTGAGCTTGCTGCCCTGGTGGGGAGCGTTGCCCATGGCCTTGTCGTAGTTGCCGACGATGGCCTGAGCGACGAGAGCGGTGTAGTAGTCGTCGTCGTTCCAGCTGACACCCTCAACAGCAATGGCGATGTTGGCAGTGGGGATCTGGTCGTCACGGACGCGGACATCAGAGCCGATGAAGTCGGCCTTCTGCTTGGACAGGAGGTAGGCCTGGTTGTGGGGGCTCTGGGCGGGCAGGTTGGAGAAGTTCTTCTCGGCGAGCTCGACGAGCTTCTCGTGGGGCACACCACCGGAGCCAACGAGAACCATGCGGTCAGCGGTGTAGTTGTTCTTGATGTAGTTGGTGAGCTCGGTGCGGGTGATGTCGCGGATGTTCTGGCGAGGGCCGAGAATAGTGCGGCCGAGGGGCTGGTGCTGGAAAGCGGTGGCGTGCAGGTGGTCGAAGACGACCTCCTCGAGCTGCTTCTCGACCTCCTCGGACTCGCGGAGGATGACGTCGCGCTCACGCTCAATGGCAGACTCCTCGAGCTTGGAGTTCTGGAGAATGTCGGAGAGAATGTCGACGCACTGGGGGACATCCGAGTTGAAGGCCTTGGCGAAGTAGACGGTGTTCTCGCGCTGTGGTTGATGGTCAGCATATTTCGCTCAGGAATTTTGCGTCGTGACGAACCGAGGTGTAGGCGTTCAGGTGGCCACCCATGTTCTCAATCTCGAGCTCGAGCTGCTGCTGCGTCCTGTTGGAGGTGCCCTATATCGGATATCAGACATTGTTCATCGGGGTTGGCGTTTTGTTTTGATGCGGCTGTACCTTGAAGGCAAGGTGCTCGAGGAAGTGAGCAGTGCCGTTGTTCTCGTCCGTCTCGGCCCTGGAACCGGCGTCGATCCACATGCCGACAGTCGAGGTCTGGGACCATGGCGAGTAATCAGTAGCGACCTGTTGGGTGTCAAGTCAGAAAAGAGCGTCCAAAGCCATGTCGTTGTCGGCGTCCCCCAATGGAGCCGGAGAAAAGGGAGGCGTACTGTCAGGCCATTCTTGAGGGTGGTCGTCTGGGTCTTGCCAGGCGCAGGCGAGGCAAAACCTCTCGTCAGAGGAGCGGTCCTGGTGAGCGCCGCCCTGTTGCGCAGGCCCTGCGAGAGGTTCAAAGCTAGTCTCCGGGACGCCATGGCGGAGTTGTGGAGGATCTAGGAGGGAATGAGTGGTTTGACGAAGTCTTTCGATGAGGTTTCGGCTCGCGGCTCGAAGCTTTCCAATTCTCGCTCTCGCAGTGCTGGAGATTGTTTCTGCCTGGGTTGCGAGGCCACAGTTTGTCCGAATTGTTCCGGCAAAGGCCGGTTAGGCCATTGGCCAATCGCACGTGGCGAGTTTGCAACTGCGGGTCTGCCTCACCTGATCGTGTGAGTCAGCAGCCCCAGGCTGTGTCGTCACTATTTTCCGGGCAGCATTTTGCTGCGTTAGGCCAGGCGCAGCCCGACAGGCCACCTACAGTACCTACCTACCGACCTACCTAGCAACTAGGTAGGTGCAATGTGAGTGAGTGAGTACATTACCTGCTCAATAGGGGGCCACGTTCGCTGAAAGGGGCAACGAACCTGGCATGAGGGCTCATCACTGGCGACGGGCATCTTCATAAATATCTATCAACAGATGATTACGCCAGCTCTCCCCGTATTTTGCCTTTTGAAGATGTTTCATCACTCACTGCACGCTCTCATCATGTGCCCAAACATACTGACACCTTGCCTTTAATACGTGCGTGGCACTGTATGGCCTGCAGCAACTGTCATGCATGGTGACCAGGCAAGTCCTACATCGGCCGTACCTGACCGCTGTCCTTGGATGTCCAGCAACTCCTCACATCCCCAAGGTGCCTAGGTACCTCACCTGTGAACAAATCTCACGTCGTACATCCCGTGCACAAATCAATCATCATCAGCATCCTCCCCACCGGTCAAGTCTTCTTGACTACCACCTTGCTCATCTCACGTGAAGAAGGCGCCCCCCCTACCGGCCCTTGCTGTCAGCCAACGGGATATCCGGACAAGCCTTGCGCCAGCCACATTGATTCATCACGTCCTGCACATCAAAGGCCAAAATGACTGCGGAAGGCTGGAAGGTGACTGATGCCTTCAAGACTCTTCACGTCTTCCAACAAAAACCCGCGCCTGACCCCTTCGCCCACGGCATGGAAGCCATTATCCAAAGCTATCCGCCGCTCGGCCAAGTCACCCAAGTTCAACGGGGTCTGATATCATTCTCTGTCATCCTCGAGGTACCACAAGCCCGACAAGAGGAATCATGGCAGGTCTCATTATGGCAATCGAGCGACGCCGCCGACTGGGTTGAGACCCCGACCTCGCTGGTGCCCCCTGAGACCGCACCCACGACACTTGGGTCATCAACAGAGGGGGTTGCTCGGCTATTCTTCAACGCCGTCATTGATGCCCAGGCGTCGCTTCAGTTCACCTTGAAGTTTCGCCATGGTGAGCATGAACCTTGGAGATGGACCCGTGACGAGTTTGGTCTCAACGATGGTCATGTCATTGTCAACACGTCATCAGTCCGGAGTTTGCCAGGGAATCTCGAAGACCATATCAAAGGCTTGAATCCGGCGTGGCAAGTTGAGTTCTTGACAAGTCAAGCTCCCAGAACACGACTTTGGTCACTTCAGGCTCCAGTGCCTGCTTCGAAGGACGATCGTTCTTCGGTTCTTGACCTCTCCATTGGAATTCCTTGGGGCCAACCCCTTCGATGGTTTGCCCTGGTACGGACCTGGAAACCCTGGCTTGCACCGAGGCATGGTAAATCCAGATTCCATCTGGATAAAGACGCCATGTTGTGTTCTTTCCTTGGTCCACAGGGGAAACACTTGGTGTTGTTGGCCATTAGCGGACTGAATAATGTGGCGGCCATGTTCCAAAGCAGAGATGACGAGGGCCTCGTCCATGTTCAAGTGTGTTACTTCAAAGCCTGATAGGGGTGAGACCAGAAACACTGACTTCGAGCTACAGGCCCGCAACGATGACATCCATGAGCAGCAGGCTATCATTCTTGCTGCAATCGGTGACAACTTCGAAAGTGCCAATGCTTCCGTCATGTACCAGGCGCGAAATGTGCTGAATGCTAGAGCTACCAAAGATGACCATGAAGCGGAGATCAAAGCACTCGAGAAAGATATCAAGCCAGAATGGAGGGAAAACTGGTATGACGGACTCGGTTACTGTGGGTTCACCCGCTCCTGACTCACGTGTTCACTTCTTCTTAACAAATAACAGGCACCTGGAATGGAATAGGCCAGAATCTCACAGAGCACAAGATCCTAGAGGCCCTGGATCACCTTGCCTCTGTAAATGTCCATATCACGAGCCTCATCATTGACGACAACTGGCAGTCCATCGATCGTCAAGGGAATGGCCAGTTTCAATACTCTTGGCTTGAATTTGAAGCTGATTCGGAAGCCTTTCCCGACGGATTGAAATCTACCATTTCCCAGATTCGAGAAAAGCACCCCCGTATCCAGCATATCGCAGTATGGCACGCCTTGCTTGGTGGGACACTCCGCATCTTCATGGATAGGCGACTCGCTGGCTAACATTTGCTCAGGGTACTGGGCCGGCATATCCCCAAACGGCAAGCTTGCCAAAGACTATAAAACTTTGCAAGTTCTCAGGGAAGAGAGTGAGCGACGCGAACTTCCACTTGGGGGAAACATGACCGTCATTGCAAAAGACGATGTCAACCGTTTCTACAACGATTTCTATGCGTTCCTTGTCTCGTGTGGAATTGACGGCGTGAAAACTGATGCCCAATTCATGATGGACACCTGGAAATCGTCCGAAGCTCGTCGTGACCTCATCGAGGAGTACCTCGATGCTTGGACCATATCGACACTGAGGCACTTTAGCATCAAGGCCATCTCTTGCATGTCCCAAGTACCACAGATCATGTTCCATTCCTATCTTCAACGCAACAAGCCGCCAATTCTCTGCCGAACCTCGGACGATTTCTTCCCGCATGTCCCCTCGTCGCATGCTTGGCATGTATGGACGAATGCTCACAACGCATTGCTGACGCAGCACCTCAACGTTCTGCCTGATTGGGACATGTTCCAAACGATGGGCGACTTTTCTCGTTTTCACGCAATGGCAAGGAGTGTCAGCGGTGGGCCCATCTACATTACGGACGTACCTGGACAGCATGATCGTGCGTTGATTGAGCAGCTCACTGGACCTACACCACGAAACAAGACGGTCATTTTCCGTCCAAGTGTAGTCGGAAAGACCATCGATGCATATAACGACTATCACGATGACGTGCTCCTCAAGATCGGCAGCTATCATGGTATGACTTTCAACCACCCCTTTGGCTGTGCCATTTATTTAACTTTTATAAGGCGCTGCTGTGACTGGCACCTCGATCGTTGGGGTCTTTAATATTTCATCCAGACGTTTGGCAGAGATCATTCCCCTTAGCTGTTTCCCCGGTGTTCTTTCATCAATGAAGTACATCGTCCGGAGCCACACAGGCTTAGGCATCTCGTCTCCCATCTCGCCGAGCTCACCCTCGTCCAACGTGACGATCTCGCTGCCCCATGGGCCGGAAGGCTCCGACATACTGTGCGCCTACCCTCTGACTGACTTTGCGAGTGAGAATAACGGCACGGTATATACCGCCAATCTTGGTCTTGTGAGGAAATTCAGTGGCGCTGCCGCCATTGTGAATAGTGACTTTGAGCTGGACCACACTGGAAAAGTGCAGTTACAAACCAGACTGAAGGCCCTCGGAACACTAGGTAAGCCTATGCTTCTGGCTGTGAGGATGCCTGCAGGCTAACCTAGGTACGCAGGAATTTACATCTCGAATCTGCCGAAGCTGACTATCAATGACGACTTCATCGCCACTATACAGGGACACATCATCAAGACAGAGGCCGTATCCGTCAGCAAAGATCATCCTCAGCTGTTGGAAATTGATGTTGAGGGCGCATGGCATGATCTGCAATTGAAACCAGGTTGGAGCAATGAGGTTGAGGTTAAGATGACTTTTCGCATCGACCACTTCGAAGAGTAGAGGAAATTGATTGGAAGGGCGAAAAACAACCTGCACGCCTCGGCTTATGAATTTCTCGTGCATCTTAATCAGTGTGTCGATACCTAAAGCAGGTCATCGTCTGGTACAGCGATACGCCAGGTCCCAATATGCACACCGTCTCTGGGCCCCGCTGACGCGCATTCGTTCTCGTCGATGATTTGATCGTGTTCATCATCGGAATCTAACACATCAAACCACTCATGGTCTCGCATGTGCTTCTCGCTCTGAGGCCATCCATCCTGGCGCAGCCACTGGAAAAAACTTCGAGTAGCATTTTCCGAGACATGATCTCCTGCTTCGTCAAGCCCGTCGTATGAAATGAGAGCTTGACATGAACGTCCATTCCCCTCTGAAGATGAATGACTCTCTGTTGGACGCCTTTCGGCCAAAGAAACAGAAGCAGATTGAAACAGCGACTCGTCATCGACACAGTCCCAGGCGAAACCTCGATATTGCGGCCAGTGGCTCTCACAGTCTACATGAACGCGGACTTCCAAGTTGACGTCTTCGAGACGCGTGACCCCGAAAGGCCTCCACTGGCAAATAGGCATTCTGGCGTGCCCGTCAGTCTGAGACAGAAACAGCAACCTCGCCTCATCCGCGTGCGAGATGGATCCGTCTGCGACGAGGGGATGAGAGGTGGGATGCTGGATGAACGTCTGACATGTCCCCGACCACACGGCTGATGGTAGATCAGTCCGTATCTGTCCCCTTCGGACTTCCTGGAGAAGAGACGTCTGTAGCCCGAGGACGGCGGCGCCGGCCCAGAGGAATGCTGCTGCTGGCTCCCGCTCTGCGAACATGCGGATAAGGACAAGAGGACCACCTTTGGCGACCGAGTCTATTGCGGCGACAGTACCCTGCAACCACGGGCTCGCGAGATTGCACTCGACGGCGGGTTCGTAGAATACGCTAGCAAGGATGGAATGTATGCCTCTGGGATTGCAGCTCAAGGCGAGCAGTCGGTCAATGTGGTGATCTCGATGAACCCAGCTATCTGGCAACTCAAAGGCAAGACCTTGACTGGATGCTGCTGTTTCGCCCAGTCGTACTCTGGCGCGGAGATGTAGATGCGAAACCTTGAGTGCCTTGTTTCTTCCGAAGCTTGGAAGTAGCAGGACAGCAGCCAGGGCCATGTGACTTTCATCCATGATATCGTGGCGTGCACAAAAATGGCCGAGAAGTGCCACGGCATCAGAAAATGACGCCGCCGAGCCGGGAATCGAGGAGAAAGTAGACTCCTTTGCCTCGCAAACAATCATAAAATTGGACTCTTGCAGGCAGACGGACCAGGGAGAGACGCATTGTCCATCAGACTCAGCAGCCAGCCAGCCTTGTCCCGGAGCGAGAACAGCAGCCCACCAGCGCATTTCCTCTGCGTTTCGAGCTCCAATATCGACGTAAGTAGACGTGTCGTCATGCGCCGGCTCTGGTGAGCCATGCCAAATCTGTGCCTTGCAGTTGGTGTATCGCATCAAACGACCTTCGCCGAACAGCTCAACCCAGCGAACGGAGAGGATGTACGCCCACGCCAGTACGAGAACAGGGACATAGTCAGGCTGCTGCGTGAGCTCTCCGTTGCCACCGGGATTTTGCCCGGCCGACTCAGCGAGGGAGAGGGTGACGGGGCTGTTTGCCGACACTTCGACTTCCAGAGACTGTTGAAACGGTGGAAGAATTGTACCGTCCTGGCATGGCGGTGAGCCCCAGGTCGAACGACCTGTTGCACGCAAACGCCGGGACCCCATACTCTGAGCGTATGGGTCATTACTCAGTCGAAGCCGCTGATGAAAATAGGGATGTCCATTGAACAAATTGGAAACAGAGAGGCAAGAGGCTGGCAAAGCGGGATCATGAGCCACGCGATGGTGGGTGTTCGCCCATAAGCAGAAGGCGGCTTCGTAGGCCTGGCGAAACTCTGTCGTCGTCGGTCGGACCAAATCAGCCATTTTGGGCGCGAAAGGCTATATGGAGCACAGATTCCTCGAGATTCAAAAGTCAAAAGCGAAGAAGACAATGTGTATGGTCGTTTTTCTGTTGTGCATAACATGCATAATCTGTTGCCTCATCACTCTGACGAATACTCGACGAGTCCACTCTTACATGCACTGGTAGATCAAGAACCAGCTCCCCCTTTTATTCCTATTCCAATTCCAACGCCGCTACCCAACTTTATTACCTTCGTCAACATGTGCTCTACTCGCGCTCGAAAACGGCAGGCGCGACAACCTCCTTGCCCTTGACGTACTCGAGGCCCTCGCCACCCTGCAGAATATTAGTACCACTGTCAAATTCCGGTTTTCTTGAATGTGACTTACGTAGGAGATCAGCGGCGACACCTCAATACCGTCAGAAGCCTTCTCGCCGGTGACAGTAGCGCCGGCAGCCTCGACCCAGCGCTTGCCCTGGGCCATGATATCCGCCTTGCTCGTGTCGGGGTCATCCTCACCGGTGCCGCGCGCATTCTTGAGCGGGGAGAACTCCTCCTCGCGCTTCACCTCGAGGCAAGCAAACTTATCCAGAGGCAGCATGGGGAAGACGTCGAAGACAAACTGCTCGAGCTTGATGCCGTTGGGCTTCTCGGGCTTGACTGTCTCGCCAGAGGACAGGTCAGCAGCGGGAATCTTCTTGCGGGCGACGTGGTGCGGCAGCTTGTGAGCCCACTGAGGGATGGACTCGAGGAAGCGAGCCGAGTAGTAGTGGTTGACGATATTGGCGGCGCGGAACTTCAGGAGGCCCTTCTGGCGAGGATCCTCAGCCTCGGCAGTGGCGGCGTCAATCTCGGAGTACTCGACCACGTCGGGCTTGCCGTTCTTCTGGAGGATGAGACCAACAGACTCGTTGGCGGCGCGCTTGCGGACGACCTTTGTGGCAATGTCGACGTTCTTAGCGGCCGAGAAGCCAATGAAGACGGGGTCGGCGACCTTGACAAGGCAGTTGTCGACACAGTAGGCGTGAATGTGCTCAATACCGCGGGAGCCCATGTCGGACAGAACGTTGGAGACGACGAGGGCCTGGTAGAGGCCACCGTTGCCGTCAGGGGCCACAGCGACACGGCCCTTGCTCTCGAGGAGGATCTTGCCCTCGTTAGAGATGCAGGGTAGGACGCCCTGCTCGAAGATGACGACATTGGCCTTGTCAAGACCAAAGTAGCTGTTTTTCTCGAAGAACTCCTGGGTCGGACCTCGCGTAGGGCCCGAGGTCATGACATACCAAGGGACAACGGCGGGTGTGCTAGCGCCAGCCTTGGCGGCGGCAAGCTCCTGGACCTTGCGGATGCGCTCAGCCTGGATCTGGAAGAGGGACTTGTTGCTGGGCAGGTCAATGTTGAAGCAGCCCTTGGGAGCAGAGCTGCCGAGACGGGTGCCCTGGCCGCCAGCCATCAGGACGACGGCAACCTTGTTCTGAGCAATGAGGTCAAGGCCGGACTGGTACCACTTTTCCAGATCTTCAGGCTGAGAATCGAGGATACTGGCGGTAGCAGACTCGGGAAGAGGCTCGAGGCCAGATTGTGTGGAGGAAGAGTCGGCATCGTCGGTCTTGGGAGGGTTCAGGGCGCGGTTGGTAATGTCGTTGATGTGGGCTGGGTCGAAGCCGGAGAGCTGCTGGTAGAGGGCAGCCTGCTCATCCTTGGAGAGGGAGTCGTAGAAGGTGAAGACGTGGTCTTGCTCGGCCTTGGCGTACTTCTCCTTGAGCTCCGAAACTTGTTCAGCAGTAGGCTGGGGAGCAGCGGCGGGCTTGCTGCCAATGTTGAGGGCCGACTTGATGGCTTCCATGATGGCGGGGTATCTAGCTCGCCAAAGGGTGTGAGGGGCAATTGGGTAATGTGCTTGTAGAGAGGTACGAACAGGTCTGAAGAGGGATTGGGGCAAGGAGGAAAGCGGGGGTAGGAAAGAAGATTCAGAATCGAAATGGAAAAGAGATCAATCAAGCGTTGACGATCAACATCGAGGGATCATGCCAAATATAGGCAGGTAAGGTAAGGTAAGGTAGCTGAGCTGCTTTCTCGTCCAACAGGTTCGACCCAGAGCTTCAACACTTGGTGCTAAGTACAGAAGCGGTCGCGGTTGGACGTCAGCTCAGGTGCCCCGCCAACTGAGCCACAGCCCACCAAGCCCACCCAAAGTCTGTGTGAGTCCACTGAAAGTGCACCTCTAGTGGGGGACACTAGCGCCGGCACGGCCTACGAGCGGCGCCTCCTATTCGTTGTGCAGTGAGCAAGGCCGGGTTCAGTATTCTCGTGTTGCAGGGCGGATCTGGGTATTCTGCGACGGGCTGGTGGACGAACCCCTGGCGAGTCTGAGGCGGTGACGTTTATTGATGATCGACCCGGATACACCTTATGTGAGACTCGTGTTTGGAGGGCCGGGTGAGGGAGACAGAGAGGCCGTTGTGGGAGTTCAGCTCGTGGCGCCTGCAGCACTAGGGACGGCTCGGACAACAGGTTCAGGATCAGGGCTATAGCATATAAGGACTACGCCATTGGTTTTTTTTGGGTTTCATTTTTCCTTTCTTGCCTTTTTTGTTCCTCGCTAGCTTCAGGGGTTCATGGCTTGTCTCTTTGGTGATCAGCCATGCTCAAGCCATCTGGGGGTGTTCTGCCAACTGCTGTGGGTTTCCTGGCTAGAGGTTTCCAGGTTTCCAGCACCTGAGCACAGCATTGGCTCGTGCTGGACACAGACGTGCGATTTGCCCACAGGTCCCCCTGTAACCCCCACTCAATATTTTGCATCGCATCATCCTTGGCAGGGTCTTACCAGTGACCATCTGTTGACACCTGCCCATACTATAAGCCTGCTCTTTGCTCTTCTGGCGACTGCCATTGCGACTGCCGCTGCGACCACAGCGTGACCTCAAGCTTGACCTGGATCGGGGCCTGGAGCTACCCATTCCAAGCTGATCGACACCCAAAAAGACCCTCATCGAGGCACATGTCAGTGGTGCCCTGTTCCAGTCCTGCGCCCCAACGAGACCCAGCATCAGGAAAGCCACCCGCCAATGCAACGCCCATGGGCAGACTTTTCTCCTTGATGCCTTCGGTTCTCCAACAACCACCAAGGCCGGCCCTCATGGATGCATCGACAGCTTGATACTCCATCACCCGTCATCGAACAGTAGATTCCGTAGCGCTACTGCATGCCCTGAGCGACAACCCATCACCCATCGGCAACTGTGCCGCGAAGTGGCATGCGACGACGTCCTGCCCTCCCCGAACCCCCTCACACGCCGCCATGTCGGAGAAGGATGCCTCCTCTGTCCTGTTCACCTCGACGAGGCGCCCCAGCCGGGCATCGACGCCTGCGAGGCGCCGCGAGCGGACGAGCCACGAGACTGCCGAGTCGAGTACCGCTGCTGGCGGTAGCAGCAGTAGCATGACCGCCCCCACCACCGAGACGACGCTGGCCATCGCTTCGCCTGACGAAGTCGCTGGCCATCCGATACCGAGACAGCACGCAGTCGAGAACGCAAACGGGAGTGCCACGAAAGAGGCCAAGGGCTACCGGACGCATAAGATTCGCTCCAGTGGCGGGTTTCTGCTGCAGGAAACACTACGAGATGCTGCCTCCCACGACGGGAGCCAGTCACATCACCGACGCCAGTCACGCCTGACGCCGCAATCACATCGAACGAGAGGCTCTCCCAGACCGTCAGAAAAGTCGGGTTCCAGTGCCGGCTACGATGCCAGCCTGCCGTACAATGCCGACAGCCCATCCAGGGGGGCTGCTTTCCCCCCTCAGCACGATGCATCACATGGCCTCACGGTCAGGAAGAGGCACGTCCCAAATGGAAAGGCTGTCGAACCGGTGTCGCCGCCGCGGGCCCAAAACCAGGGCTTCGAGATGGATTCGGCACAGATTGTGAACATGGCCCTCAACCTGAGCGAATCCAGAAGGTTAGCTTCGAGGCGAAACGCATCAAACGCCGTGCCGCCTACCCTCGCGCCTCTACCCGACAGTGCTACAGGAGGCAGCTTGCGACAGCACCTCAACCAGCAAAGACGAACCTCGCGCAACATCTCTCCGCGGCCAGGTCGAGCAGCATCGCCCCGCCTCCCACCGGGCTCGAGGATAAACACGCCTCTGCAAGCCTCTTTCGACCTTGGTCGTGAGGGCTCATACAGATACCAATTCTCTCCCTCGACGTTGGCTCGAGCACAGAAGGCCAAGGAGCACCTGGAGCTCATGGA